AAAATTGCGTCAGTATTCGTACAATGACGCTAAAAGGGACGCGTAAAACGTCATCGCCAACTCGTCGTCGCGGACTAGCAGCCGAACTATTTTCCGTTGTTTAGCCCCATGCTACGGAGAGTTTAGGCAGGTAAGTTGAGTTTAACTATCGTCTGTACAGTATTATATATAAATTATATATAAATTAGGTACTGTACATATAATTATATATTAACTTAATTTATTTTAACTTTATTATAATTATATGTATAGTTTCTGCCGTCTAGTGCCACGCTACAGAGAGTTTAGGCGAGCTATCGTCTGTACAATATGTAAATTAGGTACCGTAAGTCTAATACAGTACTGTAATTTTATACATTTCTTGTGAAAGAAACATTTCTTATTCAACGGCAGTTAAAATTATTTATATTAATGATGTCTCAAAAGTTCAACGAATTTTTTGCAGAAAAATAACATCTGAAATCGTGGCTGGGGTTTGCTGTGCTGTTCCTGCTATTCAATTTTCATATTACATAAAATATTACTTTTAATATATGTGAATATAAATAATCTTACATAAACATGTTAGTATTAAACTTATAACATTTAAGACACTTGTGTTAATTATGTTAAATGTTAATAATTGATAATTCTTACTTCATATATAGATTTTATAATACAATTGAAGATATTGTTAAAAATCTTAATAGATGCTATATATATATATTATTATTTATTAAGAAATGAAACATCATAAATAATTGATTATATTGTAAGAACACAAGTTATAGATATTAACATGTACAGAACTTATAACATTTATGACACTTGTGTTAATTTTTGTTAATTGTTAATTAAATAACAAGTTTTATTTCACATATATATGTTAATTAGATACTTCAAGACATAGTTAAGAATTTTAAATAATGACAAACATATATATTAATATTTATCATTATTAAATGAAACATCATAAATAATTAATAATATTGTAATATCACAAATCACATCATAAATTAATAATGTCTTCATCTTACGTATATGATACTTCTATGTTATTCCTAAACTTAATTGAAAATTTATAATTTGTTGTTTTATTTTTGCTAAATATAGTTAATAATATATGTACATATATAGGTAATCCAGTTATGCCTATGCGGTACTGGAAATGTATATGTTTTATATACCTAAAAAAAAGATTTGTGTGTGTGTGTGCTGTGCTGTTCCACGACAAAAACAAGCTTGAGCAATGGCGATGTCGAATGGTGCACACTTGGTAAGTAATCCTACAATTTTTTGTTTATAGCGTAGTTTATACGGATTATTTCCAAAAAAAATATACGTATTTTGGAAATGTTAAGTTGAATTAGTCTAGAATTGATTAATTTTATGGAAGAAAACCTTTCAAACAGCTGTAGTCCGTAAACTTCACACGTGAGGTAATTACAGCCCAAGGATTCCTGCAACGCGAATTCATATAACGAGGAACGTATCTTTGTGTTATAGGGGGTCTACTGTATTTTACTTTTGTTTTCATTAATAGTCATATCTGTTGGAGAAAATCAATTTAGTAAACTTGTTTTGTACAGTACATAGCTGGTTTGTTTACAAGAAGAAAGGTCATATCATCAGCATGGGTAATTAGTTTGATTTTATTTCTTATTTATGGAAAGTGTATAGGTATTATTATATCTTCATTTTGAATATTCTTAATAAGAGTTCAATATAAATAATAAACAGGATCATTGCTGATGGACAGCCTTGTCGAACTCCTGCATTACGTGTCACATCACTTAAATGGTTTTTATTTATATTTATCTGAGTATATGGCATGTGATATAATTTTATTTTGTTTTTTTCGTTGTTGTTTAAACCAAAACAATTGAGTATCTTCCAAAGGGTATTTCTGTTAACAGTATCAAATGCTTTTTGCACATCTATGGATAAGATAGAGAATGGTTGCTTTTTTCTTTAATATAAAATACACATATAAAGTTTAAAAACATTGTTATTTTGAATTGATTTATTTTTTAATCAAGCACTTTCAGTAGAAATTATTTTATTTCTAAATATTTCCTCAAATCTTTGCAATAATGAAGCAATATATTTAGTAATCCAAATTTAATAAAGTAATGGGTCTGTAATCACTTAGTTACTTTCTTCTGTAATTTTACTTATTAGAAACATCTGTCCACGACAAAAATTATCTCTGGAGGAGTTTAAGTTAAATAATTTTGTTAGGATTGAACATAAGTGTTTACTAAGAAATTTATAAAATTCAGTAGGTAGGTTGTCAACACCTGGAGCTGTGTGTATATGTAGCCCTTGAATTGCTTCTTTAATATCATTAACTGTTGTTTGACTGTTTATGAAATTATTTTTCTCTTCCCCTCAATGTGGGTTTTTGTCCATGGTGAGGGGACCTCCCAGAGATGGTTTAGTAACACACTTAAAAGTTTACCATTCCTGGGATCTGTAAGCCCACCCACGTGTTTGCCGTGCGTGGTATCCTGTTTGCTGGAAAGGGGAGCATGGTAGTTGAGGGGCAACATGAAGTTCCCAACACACTGCTTTGGCCCTTGCTTCGGATAAACGGGAGACTCAAAAATTTGAGTCAATTGTTGGTTGTTGAGTCATTTGTGACTTCGGCCTGGAGTCAACTGATCAATGCAGATCAGGCGAACATGTCAGACAAGATGTGCTCTCTTCGACTTCTTGAGAAGATGTTATTGCTCCTGGGAAACCCTGGTGTGACAGTCTATGGGAGTCACCCATGTGATGGCATTTCATTTTTTGGGACACATGGTGGGTGGGGTCACTAGGAGCTGAATAATTATCTCTAAATATGGACTCACTAAAACCTAAAACGTGTACTGATGCATTACCAACCACCGAGGGATGTCATTTCTTCCAATCAACCAGCTTACCTTATTGTTTATGCTGCGGGAGAAACATCTCTATCTAAATGTCCTCCTTTTTTGATTCAAAAATTGTTTGAATTGACCATTGGGAATCTTGAAAAAATTCGAAAATTCAGGTCAGTAGATCAAGTTGTAGAAGCAACCTCCCCTCAACAGTCAGCAAACCTTCTGAAATTGAAGTCACTATCACACCACAAACAAGTTTGAACTCATCATGTCGTGTGATATCTGAAATTGATCTGATGTCTGAGGATGAATCAGATATTCAGATCGGCCTTTCAGATCAAGGAGTTACTGCTGTACAACGCATCTCCATTTGTTGAGATGGCAAGTTAATACCAACAAAACATGTAATTGTGACATTTGACAAGCCAACATTGCCATCCGTCATTACAGCAGGATATCTGCGCTGCCCAGTTCGTCCTTATATTTCAAATCTGCTGCATTGCTTCAAATGCCAGCAATTTGGACATTCCCAGACCTCCTGCTGAGGCAAAAGCTTACGTGCACAGTGTGGAACTGAAGGTCACGACAGTACTGAATACAAAAGTACTCCACATTGTGTGAACTATAAAGATGCCCATCCTGCCTACTCTCGGAAATGCCCTGCATGGCAAAGAGAAAGAGATTCAACGGATGAAAACTGTGAAAAACATACAATATCGAGAAACTCGTCCCATAGTCACTTCAAGCACACAACTGAAACAGAAGACATTTGCTGCCATGTTGAAATCTACTAAGACATGTGGAGTTCAAACAGAGTCAATCCATGAGTGAATTCTCTGATATCTCTGACAAAGAGAATAATATCGCGGTGACACATGCAACCTCACCTTCGAAAGTTAAAATTCCTCAGTAAAATTGAAGAGGGACACTTTTTCTAAGAATTCTGCCTCAAACACACAATGGATTATAAAATAATCCAATGGAACTGTCGTTGTTTCCGCAACAACTTCTCTGACATTAAACACTTGACATCATGTACATCATCTCTCTGTGTGGCACTCCAGGAAACACATCTAAAACCTGGAGAAAGAATTTCTTTAAAAGGATTTGGCATTTACCACAAGGATGATGATAGCCACAATCGTGCCAGTGGCGGTGTGGCTATTTTGGTTTCCAATCATATCCCATCTCTGCCGATAGAAATAACTACTGATTTACGAGCTGTGGTAGTGAGAATTTCTATTGGAGTAACTGTCACAGTTTGTTTTATATACTTGCCACCAAATGTCAGAGCCAATGAGGATGATTTGGACGCATTAGTTGAACAGCTGCCAACCTCGTTCCTGTTACTTGGCGATTTGAATGGTCACAATCCAATGTGGGGCAGTCCCGACATTAACCGTTTAGGCAGGGCCATTGAAAGATTCATACGCAATCAGCAAATGTATTTATATAATACTGGTGAAGTGACATACTTCCATGCCCTAACAAGAATATTTACAGCCATTGATCTATCATTAGCAACCCCAAACCTGTTTTCACCATTTTCATGGGAGGTAGGATCTAATCCACTCTCTAGCGACCACTTCCCAATATTTCTAAAATACCGTGGCAGAGGAAGCTGTGAAACAGTCCGTTTACCACGCTGGAAACTTGAAACGGCAGATTGGCCTGCATTCTCCTCTATGGCTGACATCACTGAGGAAATGGTCAATACTGCTGATATCAATGATGCAGTTGAAGTTGTCACTTCCAGTATTATTTAGGCAGCTGAAAAATCAATGGGAGAAACATCAACTAGATATCCAAAGCACCCAAAAACATGGTGGGACCAGAAGTGCGAGGCAGCATTTAAAAAACAAAAGAAAGCTTGGGGGATTTTTAGAAGGTACTCCACTACAAACAATTTGATTGCTTTTCAAAAGGCAAATGCCAAAGGGATTCGTGGAGGAAGTATGTTTCTTGTATAACATCTTCCACTAGTTCAAAAGCAGTCTGTAATAAAATCCATAAAATTAATGGGAAACATGCTTCTCACTCTGTCCATGCTGGAAAATAAAGGCACAATAATCAGCGACATACAGGGTATTGCTGATTTATTGGGTGAAACATTTTCTGCTTCATCCAGTAACATTATTTATTCAAGGAATTTTCAGGCTTATAAAGCCCAAAGTGAAAAACGAAATTTAAATTTCCATTCTTCATCTAATGAGGAATATAATGTGCCATTCACTAGAATTGAATTACACACAGCGATCTCTCGCTTGGAGAATAGTGCTGTAGGTCTGAATAAAATCCACTACAGCATGATTAAAAATCTGTCAAACAATTCCCTTTCTAATCTCCTGTGTCTGTTTAACAGAATATGGACAGAACATACTTTTCTTGACTCTTGGAGGCTATCTATCATTATTTTCATTCCCAAGCCAGGTAAAGACCACAAAAATCTTTTTACCGACCAATCTCTCTGACAAGTTGCCTGTGTAAACTCTTTGAGAGGATGGTAAACAGACGCCTAATATTTTTCTTAGAGGAAAAGAACTACTACTTAACCACATGAGAGTGGATTTTGTGGGAACAGAAGCACCACGGACAATTTGGTTAACCTTGAAACATTTATACGCGAAGCATTTGTTAGACTAGAGCACTTAGTGTGTGTGTTTTTTGACATAGAGAAGGCCTATGATTGCTGTTTGCAATACGGGATACTCTGTGATATGTACCAATTTGGATTACGAGGTAACTTGCCAGTATTTATAAAGAACTTTTTCCAGAATTGAAGATTTCATGTCAGGATGGGCAACACATTATCTAGGCCTTTCACACACGAAGGAGGTGTTCCTCAAGGGTCTATTTAGAGTGGACTTTGTTCCTAATCAAAATCAACAGTATAGCTAACTGTCTTCCTTTCAATGTGAAACACTCTCTGTACATGTATGACTTTTAGATCTGCTGCCAATCTAGTAACATGAGTTTCATTGAGAGACAACTGCAAACCTCCCTAAATCGCATATACGATTGGTCCAAGACCAATGGCTTTACATTTAACGCAACGAAGATCTCATGCATCCACTTTTGCTGAAGGCATGGACTGCACATGGATCCTAAAATTTATTTAAATGGGGGATAAAATTCCAATGGTGAATGAGGCTAAGTTTTTGGGTGTTACTTTCGACCAAAAACTGACATTCTTGCCACACTTGCGCAACCTGAAGAGTAGATGTTTAAAATTTCTGAAACTTCTGAAGGTATTAGGCTGCTCATCCTGGAGAGCAGACAAATGTTCTGTGCTCAGGATTTATAGGGCCTTTGTTTGCTCTAAGCTGGATTATGGCTGCATTGTTTATGGCTCAGCCTTTGTCTGCCAGGATGAAATTGTGGCAGAGCAAATTTCATCGAATTCATCTATTTTTACTGCAGAGCTGCATGCTATCCACTTAGCCTTAAACTATGTAATCAGAAAAGGTCATTGTCGCTGTGTTATTTACACTGACTCAGTTAGTGCACTTCAGGCTTTGATCTCATGTGAACCTTGTTCTCACTGTATAGTGATTAAAATTCGTAAATTGTTTAGCCATCTTCTTGCAAGGAATTTCTCTATAAAATTTTGTTGGGTCCCAGGCCATGTTGGTATAAGAGGAAATGAAGAAGCAGATGCAGCTGCAAAATCAGCTAGTCCTCCACAGCACACAATGCGTATTGAAGGAGGTGATTTCAAGCTAGTCATTAAAAAACGACTAGCAGAGAGATGGCAAAATATGTGGAACGCACAAGTCCACAATAAACTGCATGAGATCAAACCTACGATAGAAAATTGGACACACAAGAAATTTTATAACAGGAGATCTGAAGTTATTATTACTCGTTTGAGAATTGGACATACTCGGTTGACTCATCAATACCTTTTGAAGGGTGACGAGCAGCCAGTATGCCAGTATTGCAACTGTCCTCTTACTGTAAAACACATACTGCTCGATTGCTCTGTTTTTGAGACCAGGCGTAGGCAGCATTTTGGAAATGCAAATTTTAAACAGATTCGGGTCAGAGGCCCAATTTTTATGATATATTAGACTTTTTAAAAGTCAATAATTTGTGTAAAGAAATTTAATTATTTATTTATATTTATATATCTATTTATTTATCTTTTAGCTTTTTGTTCGTTCTTGTTTGTTATTAATATGTATATATTTGTTTTTTTGTTGCTGTTTTATTTATTTATTTTTGTCATATGTTTGTTATTTGTGATGTTTATAATTATTTACCATTTGTTATGGCGCAGCTTAGCCTATATGGCTCTTGTGCCAAAAAACCAAAACCAACCAACCAACCAACCGTTTATGGATCTGCACGAGAATCTACTCTTTGGATGCTGGATTCAATCCACCATCGAGCATTACGTTATGTACTGGTGCATTTTGAATTCTCCTGTCCAAAGCTTGTACGTTGATGCTTATGAGCCTCCACAATTTCTCAGGAGAGAACAGTTGTCTCTTTTTTACTATATAAAACAGAAATCTTGTACTAAATCTTCAGTTGACTGTACAGTATCAGATACTCAGCAGAAAAGGCTATTTCAAGCTTGTCCAAGTAGTGTCCCTACATTCGATATAAGAATGGAGAATGTAAGCAGCACGATTGACCTGAACACAAGCAACATTTTACAGGCTGAGATAGATAGTATACCACCTTGGTCAACTGCTGTGATAAATGTTGACTTCTGCTTAAAACAGTTTTCTAAGGAACCCACCCCAGAGTACATTTATAGACAGCACTTTTCAGAAATCCAACACAATGACAGGAATCTAATTCCCATTTACACTGACGGTTCTAAATCAAATGATTAGGTTGGCTTAGCGTTTGTCTGCCAGGATGAAATCGTGGCAGAACAAATTGAATCAAATTCATTCATCTTTACTTCAGTCTATTTACTTAGCCTTAAAGTATGTAATTAGAAAAGGTCATCGTAGCTGTGTTGTTTACACTGACTCAGTTAGTGCACTTCAGGCTTTGATCTTGTGTGAACCTAGTTCTTACTCCATAGTGATTAAAATCTGTAAACCGTTTTGCCATCTTACTGCGAGTGATTTCTTCGTAAAATTTTGTTGGGTCCCAGGCCATGTAGGTATAAAAGGAAATGAAGAAGCTGACGCAGCTGCAAAGTCAGCTAGTCTTCCACAGCATACAATGTGTATTGAAGGAGATGATTTGAAGGCAATTGTTAAAAAACAACTAGCAGAAAGATGGCAAAATATGTTGAATGCACAAATCCACAATAAACTGCATGAGATCAAACTTACGATAGAAAATTGGACACACAAGAAATTTTATGACAGGCGATCTGAAGTTATTATTACTCGTTTGAGAATTTGACATACTCGGTTGACTCATCAATATTGTTTGAAGGGTGATGATCAACCAGTATGTCAGTACTGCAACGTTAGTGTAAGTGTTAAACACATACTTTGCAACTGCATTGCTTTTGATCAAAGTCGTAGACAGCATTTCGGAAATGCTAGTTTAGGAGAGATTTTGGGCCAGATGCCAAATCTCGACAAACTATTGAACTTTTTGGAAGGGAATAATATTTATAAACATATTTAATTATTTAATTAGCTTATACTTATATATATTTTTGTTGATTTATTTATATATATATATATATATATATATACACATACAGGTAGGCCTCTTACAATGCGGTACCTTTACAACACGTTTTCGCTCCAACGCGGTTGGAAAAATGCGGAAATTTACTTACAATGCAGTTTACAGTATTTAGAAATGAATTATCTTACACATAATAGAAAAATCGCAACGGATCACGTGATACGAATTGCAGTTTGGCATACAGAACTAAATGTTCCTGAAAACAGCTGTTTGTCACTGTTGGCTTGTTATTTCTTTTTTTGAAAGTTTCAGGGGAAGACCGGTTTCTAGATAGATGTGCATCATTTACCATAAACACTCTAATATATCACTAAATTTTCCATCATTTATACTGTTTCAATAAGTGGGGACAGCAAAAATGGTCCAAAATGCAGTATAAACTTCTATTGAGTGTATATTTTTAACAACATAGTGAAGAAAAGTTATTTTTTGCGATTTTTACTGTCCACAAAACTGATTGAAAAATTTTTAGCCATAACAATGCCGAATGAAAAGAAAGGACTGTCGTTAAAAAGGAAATTTATAACTCTTCAAAGATAGAAATTTTAGATCGAATTAAAAATCATGAGCGGATAGCTGATACTAGTAGGCATTTTAATTTAAATGAGTCGACTATTCGGTCGATTAAGCAATCGGGGAAAAAAATTAGAAATTTGGTCGCATCCGGATCATCTATTCTTGCGAGAAATGTTGCTAGTCAGAGAGCACCTATAATGTAAAAAATGGAACAAGTGCTAATATTACAGGTAGAAGATATGAACAAGAAACGGTTGCTTTTAAATAAAACTGCACTTAAACACAAAGCCTTAAAAATATTTTATTATGTAAAACAAATGGGACAGTTGTCAGCTGCAGTGGCGTAGTGTGGATGTCAGCCGCCCGGGGCGGAGGAAAATTTCGTTGCCCCCTTATTTAGGTATCTCAATTTAAAAGACTAAAATTCAGTTTCGTCACAGAATAAGTAATGAACAATTTCGTGCTCATTTCAATCGGTCCGAATCGTAGGTGCAAGAAAAATATGAAATGAAATGGTTCACATTTTTACAAGATATTATTATTATTATTTATTGTGAAATTTTGCCGCCTCTAAAAGTGCTGCCCGGGGCGCGCTGCCCCTGCCGCCCTCACTACGCTATGCCACTGGACAGCTGATGAAAACAGTGTTAAATTCGTGGCTAACACGTGGCTGCTTTGAAAAATCCAAAAAATGCCATTCTTAACGCCAAGTTTTTCTCTTTTTAGAACCGAATTCCAGTTTTTGTATTGAGTTGGTGTCTCCTATAACGCGATTTCCCACAACGCAGTATTTACAAGGAACGTATCTACCGCGTTGTAGGAGGCCTACCTGTATATATATCTTGTTATTATTTATATGTGTATTGTTATATATTTTTGTTATTTGTTTTGTTATATATTATTTATCTATATTTAATATAATTTATTATACAGTATATTTATTTATGTATTAGTGTATATAATTATATCGTTTGACATGGCGCAGCTTGGCCTATGTGGCCCTTGTGCCAATAAACTCTAACTAACCAACCAACCAACCACGTAATGATACTTAATACAATGCCATGTGTAGTTAGTATTAAAGATTTTATTCAGCCAGGCTTAAACCTGATTTGCAATTGGATACTCATAAAATATGTGAAATATGTTTTTAGTTTTACCACAGCAGGGACACTTGGTGTTCTTCCTATGTTTGTATGTGTGTAAGTAGTGTTTAGACATCATGATGATATTTATTTTTCTTCAGGATGTCTCCTTCCATTCTGCAGGTAAGTTTGATATATTAGACCAAGTGTCTTCCCATTTTATGGAAGTATCGTTGAGATTATTATTGGGCCACTGTTGATCAATGGTATTGTAAATGAGAGATGGCATAATTCTATTCTGGATCTGATTGTTGTTGACAAGGGACGTGATGATTTTCCTCCAGGTCTTGAATTTTACCATGTCGATCAACAGGGGTCTATTTTCTTGAGTATTATTAATACGTTTGATGATTGGGCCGATGATGTAGTAAGTAATATCATAGAGGGTTTGCTTTTGGTTTATGATGGCATTGAGAATGTTGGCAATTTGAAGGGAACTTTCCAGACTTTTGACATCCCATATCTTCCATCCAGCTTAGTTAATTTTGTTTTTCATGATTTTCCCTTTTAAAGGCTCAAAATCATTTTGCCATATGTACCTAAATATTATTTTATCTATTATTTTCTGGTTTTTCTTGTTGAGATCGGTGATATATAGATTGTACCCGATCCTAGCAAAGATTGCTTTGTTAGCTATGAGGACCCTTTCTGGTAAGTATAGCCAAACTGCCTCCCAAGTGGAGATAGCAGCTTTTATTTTGTTTGTCATGTTTTCAATGTTTTTTTTCCTGCTATCCTTACCATACCAGACACCAAGAATTTTGATATTAGATACCAGATTGTTATTCTGGTTGAGCTGGCTGTATATGTTTAGTATTTTACTTTTGTTGTTATTTATTTTTAGACCGGTGACTTTGCTGAAGGTATTTAATTTCTGGTTAATCCTGTTCACAGTAACGTTGTCTGCTATAAAACGGTTGATGTCATCAGCGTGGGCAACGTACTTAATATTATTTCATGTTCCTGGTATATAGATGGGTGTTATTAGTTTGTCGTTCCTTATCATGCATAGTAGGGCTTCTATACAAATTGTAAATAGAATCATTGAGCAGGGACATCTTTGTCTAACGCCCGCCTCACGTTTGTAATCAGAATCTTTGATGTTGATTTCGGTTTTTGGTGTCTGGTATAATAATTTAATTTTGTCATACTAGTGTACAAAGACATACTTTCAGTTACAGAACTGTTTATTTTGTTGAGAGAATTTTTTTCTCTTACATTAGTTTGAATAAACATACCATATTGCTTAGGAGGAAGTACTTATAAACCTTCATTTATAATTGTTTTAGGTACTATTTTATACAATACAATAAGGGTACTAAAAACACTAGTCAGACATTCAATTTGTTACAGATGATCCTTGAATATAATTTTGTTTTGCTTAACACAGATAACTTTTTCTGTTTTTCTATACAATTTTTTTTAATCTCATTGTGTGTCATCATTTTGTAGTCACTAAGAATTTTTAATTCAGCCTCTTGTTTTATTTTACAAACTACTATTGAAGCATTTAGCCTTTTTTCTCGTACATTAGTTTACATGTAGTTTTCCATGGGGTCCATTTTGCGAGGGCAATAATCCAGTTTAAGAGGTAATTATGTTAGTTAGGGACCAAAAACTTTGTCTGATATTTAACTATTTGCCAGGTTGTTTTTACTCTCCAGATCTTTGCAATCCATGCCCATATGGATCTAGTATGTCGCACATATAAAAGATGTGCTCTATAGTTTATGTTTGGCCAC